ATTGAGGCCGGCTTGTAAATTGAAGACATTCTGTAAGGACATTATTCCACTGCACAGCTTGGTGTCATCTGCAAAGCCTGAAATTGGAATTTTTAATCCCAGACCCTAGATCATTTATAAATATATTAAAAAGTAAGGGTCTCAACACTGAACCCTGGGGTACACCACTGATGACCCCAGACCATTTAGAGAATGAATCATTAACCACTACTCTTTGAATATGATCTTTTAGCCAGTTTTCTATCCATTTAAATACGGATTTTTCCAAGCCCGTAGACTTTACCTTACACATTAGCCATGTGTGAGGATCGGTGTCAAACACTTTTGCAAAATCCAAGTATATCACATTCACACCGCCACCCCCCTCTGTCCAAGGTTTTGCTCACCCCCTCATAAAAAGAAATCAGATTTGTTTGACAACTTCTGTCTTTCATGAATCCATGCTGTCTGTTGCTTAAAATATTTTTGTTTCCAGCAAGAACTCATCTATGTGGTCTTTTATTAAACTTTCCAAACTATAGAAGTTAAACTAACAGGTCTATAATTACTTGGTAAAGATTTTGACACCTTTTTAAATATTGGCACATTGGCAAAAAAGCAAAAAAAAAAACAAAAACCACAACTTCCAAAACCCCCCATGCCTCTTACTAAATTCCTTGGACTGTCTACTTTCCAAAAAGGGGTAATTTGGAGGTATTTGTATTGTCCTGGCATGTTAGGGCCTTAAGAAATGATAGGCAGTCAGTTCACCAGGTTTGATCAATTTTCAATGATACATACCATAGCTTGTAGACTTTAGAACTTTCACACAGACCAAATAATATACACCGATTTGGGTTATTTTTACTAAAGAAATGTAGACGTATAACTTTTGGTCAAAATTTATGAAAAACGACTTATTTGCATAATTTAACGGAAACTGACAAATGCATTTTATTTTTCATTTTTGGTCTTTTGTCACTTATTTATCAAAAAATTTAAAAAGAACACTGCTTAAATACCATCAAAAGAAAGGTCTATTTGTCTCAAATGATAAAAAGTTAATTTGGGTACAGTGGTGCATGACCGAGTAACTGTCAAAGTATGACAGCACTGAAAATAGAAAATTGGCCTGGGCAGGAAGGGGGTGAAAGTGTCCAGTATTGAGGTGGTTAAAAAACAGATTTTACAATAAATTATCTTCTGAAGTTGCTTTATGAAATTTGCTGTTGGCCAAGTTATTATGTAACATAACATAATGCCATGTATAATCTAAAAGTAAATGAATGCAACGCAAACAGAAAGAAATTACACATTTTATTATTACCTATTATGTACTTAAAACAATTAAAACACACATTGTTCTGGAATAAAAGTTGTGAGTTAAGAACAGTAAGAACAAAAAATACATCTCATCCAATTTCCAGCATAAAGCCCAATGTTAAATAAATATATCTTGAAAAAAGAACAAATAAAATGTGGCAATGAAAAATAAATCATCTTAGAGTGAAAAAAGCAGATTTGTAAACTGTGTAAGTCATTTGGCAGTATGTTTGTTACCTGTTTCACCAAAATATTTAGTTTAATTATTAGGAACTGCAAGGCACTCTGCATCTCTTGAAAATAGGCTCAGGCCATAACATTGCTGCTTCAATTCTGGGTCATACAATTAAAAATATAAATATAAAAAAGTAAACGCTATCATCACAACACATGCAGCTGTCTGACACTGAAGATGGGGCATCAAATGGCTCAGGTATTGAAAAGTAGCTGTTACACTTTTATCAATTGTGTGTATGGTTGCATATAAGTGTTTATATCTGTAAAAAAATTCTGCTGTTATCAAAAATTTAAGTTATTTTCACAGACATTCACTTGACAATGTTTGAGCTTCTCTTCAGGTGAATTATATAGTGATCTTATAAATTCTCTTTATTATGAACTAGAATAAAATGCAATTTTCATATTCACCGAATCTAATTTTCCATATTTTAATTACAGATAGAGGACCCCCTGGCTACTTTTCACATTTTATTCCGTCTCTTTACAAGCCCATTTGCAGACCTTAATAGCTCAAGCCAAAATTTATGCATACAAGTGCTGCCTCTTTAGTGCAAATTGTTTGTCAGGTATTAAAAGATAACTCTTAAAATATGAAGTCATTTAAAACTACCAAAACAAAAATAACCCAAACCCATTATAGTTTCCCTTTTAGATTTCAACCACAGCCATGTGCCATCTACTTTTCAATTTGTTTCCCTGTTTAGAGCAACCAACAGCCAAAATTGCAATTTAAATCAATTGAAACCACTACAGTGCCAGATGAAAGGTATTGTCTATCAATCAAGCTCCCCACCAATTTCCATTATATGGAAATGATTTTGTCAGTGCAGAAAGCTGCACTGTATATAGAATGTTATGTACTGTACTACGTTATAAATCTTTTTACACAATCATAGGTTAAACAATTGATGGGATTCTTTTATGTTGCCAATTAATACTTCAGTTGTCCCAACTAGAAGCTATGACCTGTTATTGTTAACACAAGCACAATTATTCATAAATTTTCCAAAGAATCTATGCAATGTTCAGTATGAAATCTGTGTACAGGTGTAAGTATGTTTTGAGGCCAGTTCACACCAGAATATGTGCATTCTCGTAGTCTCTTTTGACAGTCCATTTAATTAAATGGGTGACAAAACTCACTGGGACGTGGAAATAGTAGTATAAGCAATACTTTTTCAGAACACACTACACCAAACTGCATGGTACTGTGGTACCATTGAAATTTGGTGCGAGCCAACATGATGCATTTGCAAGGTGAATTTGGGTGTCAATAAAAATTCACTGGCACCAACATGCTCTTGCAAGGGCAGTGCAATTACCTGCAGTGCAGGAAACAAGCATTTCCTGCACTGCGTTTTGGTGTGAACAGGCCCTAAATGGCATTACTACAGCAAATGGTATTGTTAACCATAAAATACTTCATGCTCACAAATCTCAGCTAATGCTTTATTTTGCGACTTTAAAATGATAACCCCAACAAAACAGCAAGATACTGTATATGTATTACATCTATGTATGTACATGGTTTAACTTGACAAACCATTAGTAAATCTGCTCAACCAGTCTTGTGGTTCACACACCTATGCGATATTGCATAACAAAGAACACTACTTCATCCTTGGTTAGCATTACAGCTTCCTAGGTCACCTGCCTTGTGAGTGGACTGAGGTGTTGACGATTTACTATCCAATGAGTGGGCCCAAGGTGAAGAGGTGACAAAGGAAGCTGCAAAGGTGAAAAACAGGGTTGTCACCTGTCTAGCAAATCTGTGGAAACAAAGGACTGGCTAAACAGAATTACAAATCCTTTGCCAAAAAAACAAACAAACACTGAGAATGCATGTATGTAAACTTTTTATTTGGTGGTTTGTAAAATTAAAAATCCCATTTAGAAAAAAAAAATCTACTAAAACACAACTTCATTTCAATCTAATACGTACAACTCACTTTTAGAGAATGCCTTTTTTTGATTTTCAACAATTTATATACATATCTAGGACCTTTTGCCAAACTACCACATACTTAAAGCTGGACACACCTGGTTTAGTTCCTTCATTCATTCAGCGGGCTGAACAAAAAAAAAAAAAAAACTGAACTGATTCCCCATCCACACATTCAAGGTGGATATGGGAATCCTCCCCACTGTGTCATTGTAATCTGACATTAGGAAAACTGCTCCATTCCACAGATCAGCACCTATTGCATGCAGTGCTGATTAAGAGGCTTTTATCCGACAAAGCGGTTGAACAAAAAGTCAACTTTGGTTCAACCAGAGTGGCCAAACTTGAATTGAAATTCGGCTGGTCCCTGCTAAGCCGGCTGAATTTTGATCCATGTATGGCCAGCTTATATGGGAAAAGTGTTACAATGGGTTTCTTAGTAAAGCTATTAACACAAGGATGGTCCACTTATCTGTTATTCATGTTAAGGCCACAGGGAGAAGAGATACCCTAAGCCGCTGTTAAGACTATAAGTCCAGCATAAAAGTTTCAGTAAACATCTTGTGTTGCAAGGATACTGCAATACTGGGACTTCTTCCAAACTGTTTTTACTTTCAATGTGGATCTGATTTGCCAAGTCTGATTGGTTTCTGTGAGCAAAAAGTCATTTTGACCACTCCAGGACAAATGCTTAAAGTAAATGTTTCCTCCTAAACATGTCTTCAACAATAGGTGCCAGCATATGTCGCTTGCCTACACAAGCTCCCTGAAACCTGCAGTGTTCTAACATACAAATCTCAACTTTGCTAAGAAAGTACTGGGCTGTCCCATTCCATAAATCCATAGGACTGGACGTTGAGGCTGTACTTTGAAGAAATATGCGGAGGCAGAGCCCATTCCTTTCTTGGCCAGATTTGTGATGTTTAAATTAGAAGTCCCCAGGTTGGGGAAGAGAAGTATAATAATAATGTTGAGGCATTTGCATGTGTTGTGTCAAGCCTGTTTTCACACGATTGCAGTGCAGTTTTCCAACACTACAGGTTACCTGTGTGTTTGGAGGACAGCTGCGCTTTCCCACAAAGTTATATTGTGTCCTGCATGTTTGGTGCTCATTCTGAAAGCGAACCAAATGTGCAGTGTACAGGAGTTTTGGTGTGCTTTCAGAACACAACATAACTATGGGAAAGCACAGCCAACCTGCTCCAAACATGAGAGTAAGCTGTGCTGCTCCTGTGGCACAGGAAAACCACACCTCATTGGTTTACTGGTCTTCAGTTACTGGTGTGCTTGAAAGTAAGACAGCTTTTTAACCAAGACAATGTAGTTAAAAAAAATTACAAAACACTTAACTACTGTATTGCCGATTACCAAAAGTACACGTCTTTAGGTACCATAGAAATAAATTCAGAATCAGAGCTGGACTCTGAAATAATGAATATAAAAAAAAAAAATTAACATTTCCTTACAGCTCCAAGACAAATCAGACAAGAACATTTTTTTTAAAATGCTTTTACACTTAAACTTCCTTCTTCTTTAAGATGAGTGGACCCACGTTGTCTCCAGTTAGTTCATTGTGCTTGTTATGGGATCCATCGCAAACAGGAAACTGGAAACAAGAGAACAAAGTTCATTAGAAAACACTTAATGTACTCAATTTAACAGTGAAAAAAAAAAAACACTTAAAATACTGTTAGGCTAAAGTTTGCTACATTTGAAACATTTTAACTGCTATATTGAATGAATCTGTATATGTGCCATTATTAGCTAGCATTGGTCTCAGTTTCAGAAGCTGCTCACAGTATTGACAGGCTATGTATAGTTTGGAGGGTGTTTTGCTTAGTAATCAAGTAAAATGTACTGCTTACAAGGAAAAGGCTTTCCTTGATGAACCAGAGTATTATTACTTTTATGAAGTGTGCCCAGCTGCTAGGACGTGAGCAGTGCATTTTCTCGGCTCTGTCCCTGCCCCCTCATCCTACCGACGCATCACCTTGCTAACTGGCATCCCAGAATTCCCTGGACCCTTATTTAGTCACTGATCCTGCTGAAAATCAAAAAGGTGGCATCCAAGGCTGCAGGAGGGAGGCATGCAAAATAAATCCAGGAGAAGATTCAAGATGGCACTGCCCCCCAGCACCACAAGGCATGCAGCATCAGGGCACAGAGCGAAGAACCAGGCATGGCAAGTCCTCAAGCTCTGACACTCAGGATCAGCAGTCTCTACCTCAGGGACAGACAAATTATGAAGATACATATGAGGGGGACCAGCATCATATATTGCTCAGGGGGACACAGGGTTAAGTTACACTAAAAGATTTCCTTATTCTCCCAAAATAATCAATACACATCCACTATACAATGGCTCTGTAATTATTTTTCATTAAACCATTTCTTATTCTCTTTTTCTGCATTCTTGTAGCATCCTCGGAGTTCCCGAACCTCTCCTTTTCACTTCTGTTTGTTTGAAACAAGCAGTGCATGTTCTTTCTGGTCATGTGCCCTGCTCCATGCAAACTGCAAACCCCAAAGTCCCTCTTTGAAGCAAGTAAGAGAGGGTGACTACGTTCCTACATACAGCAAGACCATGGAGAATAAACGTAGTCACCCTCTAACAATCAGTTGAATCACAGCAGCAAAAGAAGGAATCTGGAGATTCGGAAGGGGCTGAGAACAACAGAAGGTACGTTCTGAGTTAGGAATACACATTTAAATGGAATTTTCTTTTTATAAAGCCAGAGTTAGTGTCATTTTTAACTTTCAAGCTTTTTTCAGCTGCAGTGCAGTGAAAAGGAGACTTTGGCACAGGTCCACATTGCTCTGTATCCAAAGGCACATTCTAGTGTGTATAAGGCACATAGAAAACAATTGTTTTCTGTGTGCCCTTGCAGAAACTTGCTTTTTTTTCTAATGCATACAGTGTGAACGAGCCCTCAATGTAGAACTACAGATGCAAAAGAAAAGAAAGAAATGGTTACAAAGTTTTGCCACACTGTCACAGCCAGAAAAGGCTAAACGTCTGCCATCACCCTTCTTAAATATGACCAGCAGAGACAGAGCTCTGAGAAAGCCAGATTTGGAGTATCCCTTGTTTGTATATCACTACTTAGATTAAGCCTACACAATATTACAGAAGATATTGAAGCAATCACAAAATGCAGAGTCGAAAGGACTGCCATGTTGCTGAAACTGTATGCATTTATTCTACAGAAAATTCAAGCAGCTTAGAATATCCATAAGGGTGGTTACTAAGGTGTGTAGACTCCACAACTTCCATAAGTTATGGGCCAAATATACATATAGAGTTTATGTCAAAGGCAGAAAGGTCTGGTCACACAACTAGACAAACTCATTTTCAAAATCATTAGAGAACTTATAAGTCAATAATTATTGGCCTTCTTGTAGTAACCCCCCAACCCGGAATAAAGCTTACCATAAATGGAGGAAAAAAATTAAAGATTACTGAAAATGGTGAAAAAATAAAGATTATTATAAATGGGGGGGGGGGGGGGGGGGGGGGGGAGGAGAAATTAAAGTGAATGTGTTTTAATGCATGCAACTCTTTGCTTAAACAAGTATGTATGTCTTAATTTATCAAGCTGTACTTTTCTCTGCATCATAAAATTATAAAGAATGACTTACTAAGAATAAATTTCTATGCACCATTCTATCTATGGCAGAACAAATGCTGGCTGGTAAAAGAATAACAGCCACAAAAGGCCAGAGGACAAGATAATGTGGTCATGACACTGCAATAATAAATTTGACATTCAAGCTTCAGCTTCTTGATACAGAATGCTACAGCTTAAATTAGATCTTTCTACATGACAGCGGTGGTTCACTACAGTGGAATGCCCAATTACACTTTGATTATGTGTGGTCAGATTTATCAACTAGTCATATACAAAGTACCCACAATCTTTATGTTCTATGACATAGTAATATAGGAAAAGGCATTGTCTTGCCCTCTGTTATCCATGCCATTTCTGAATTAAACCTTTTCAGGGCCAAGAAGTAGAGATGCCCATTTAATGTCTTATAATCAGCAAAGTCCACCAACTGCACTCTCTGAACTACACCAAAATAAGCAACATTTTGCTTATCCCAAGCTCTGTGCTCCACATTCACATATATCATCTGCTGTGCCCAACTTTGCTGTATGTATGGGTATCAGGGAAGCACTATGAAATGTTCATAGACCTGTCAGTATGTTGAGGTGGAAAGCAGGGCACTGAGGAGCCTGTTGAATAGATCAAAATGCCAGTTTTTTTTGCTGCTATTTACACACTATCCAATGACAATTTAGAAGCGGTGTTCCCCAAAACACAACTAATAGCTTTTACTTTTAAATGGCTACTAGAAATCCAATTCCTGCACAGCCACTGCCAGATACTGACAACAACATATGTTGACAGATCATCATCACCCTGTAATCAGTAATCCAAGTGTTTATTTGAAATTTGATCACATAATAATATGGGGTTGATACCCCACCCCATATTATTATGTGATCAAATTTCAAATAAACATCAAAACCAGAAAGTGCAAAATTTGGTGCAGCTCTGCATAGAAACTAACCAGCTTTTTGTGAAAAAGAAAAATTTCACCTTTTGAAAAAAAAAAAAATAAATACACTCCCTTTTTTTGCAGGTAAGGAGCCTGCAGAGCATTGCATTCGCGATCAGCATAGCTGTCTGCCTGTAGAACAGTAAGTTACTTGAGAGCAAGAAGAATCAATGGACTATGAGAGCGCTCACCAGCGCCTTTGCAGTTCACAAAGAACTACAAGCTATCGGCCGCAATAATTGTAGGCAATCATTCACAAGAAGCTATGAATTAATGAATGAAGCAGCTGTGGGGAGGAGAAGCTGCAGCTCCTAGAACAAGTTACACCTTCCGGACCATGTAACATGTTCCAAAGAATGAACTTATTCTTTAACAGAGCAAGCTGAAGTTAGAAGCTGATTGGTTTCTATGCACAGCTGCACCATATTTTTTTTTTCAGTAAATCAACCCCTACATGTGCGAGTGCAGCAATTCAAGGCCACGAAGGACTTATTCGTCAGACATGACAACCAGGTCCTGCGCGGCCTCAAAAGGGTTGCAGCTGCACTTATTTTGACGTGATCAGTTTAAATAAACACCTGAACTATTGATTACAAATTCGTGGTGTGCTGACAACAAATATTCTTGTCCTTACTGATTCCATTCAACTTTCTGAAGGAAGCGCTTCAGCAATAGTTCTGATTTCAGGGTCACATAGATATTTTTAAAATAATGAAGAAGCAAACACACAGAATAGCATTAATCATTTTGTTATGCTAGGGTTTTCAGTTTTGTATGCGGTCCATAGTTCTACTTTAAAGCCTCAAATTTAGTATTTTTAAATCAGCACAAGGGACTGTACTTGTATTGAATGAGATGTGTCCCTTGAGCTGGTGGCTGCTCTTAGTTGAAATTTTCCATCCTTTGCCACATTCCCTCTCCCCACCCCATGCCACTGAATCTGTAATTGTACAGTGCTTAAGGGGTTAATACCCATACTCTACATTTGTCTGGGGATCAGGACTGTAGGTCAAGAGTAAGGCTTCATTTACACGGGCGTAGAGCCCCACACAGCACAAATACTCATTTATCTTTTTAAAGTAGCATGGAGCTGTGTGCAGACAAGGTGCATTCAGGGCCATGCATCTGTCCCTGTTTAGCCGTCAAACACAGCTGTGCAGGTGAGCCTGTACTCACTGTATTCAATTATATAGGTGCCTGCACACAGCCCCATGTAACTGCAAACAGATAAACAGCTCTTAACACTGTACAGTGTGCTACACCAAGTCTACAGTTAATGAAGCCTAAACGACAACACAATGCTGCCCAAGCCCATTCCAGTGATTGAGAATTACTGAAAACAAGATACCATACATTACTGCCAGCAGAATAAATTACATTGGAGGACTGCTGTGGATCACTTATTTTATACATCTCTGTGTGTGGGATTATGTTGCATAATGGATTCCCTTCACAGCAAAAAACACTCACCGTTTTAGAGCGCCAGCATCGGCAGTAGGCAACTTTGGCAATATGCAGGTCTTCTATATCAATTTCATTCACAACTTTAGGGTTCTCCTTTTGGATTTTCAGATTAATCAAACTGTCTTTCTGTTGCTTCTTCTTCGGTAGGAATGGTCGGATTGCAAGGTAGCCCAGCAGGGCAAGGACACCCAAGAAAGGCAGTAGTCGTAGCCATTCTGAAACTGAAGACAAGTGTAAGTTTGATTACAAGTGGAAGATGCTTATTATTTAACACTGTTCTTTGGAGATTTTTTTAGTGCAGAGTTCTGGTCATATCTGTACACCAACAACAGCTCTCTGTTGAAGAGGACCTTACATGGAAACGCAGTATCTGCTACTGTTATAGCACCCCCCAATGAGAAACACTGAGTTGAAGAAAAAGCAAAAAAGTCCTTCGGAGACAGCTGAAGAACCCAAATCTCTCAAAAAAAAAAAAAAAAAAAAATCAATCCAGCACCAAGCAAGATGGAGTTCTTATAACAGCTGGCATCCTCAGCTTCCTTGGGATCAAAGAGAAAAAAAAAAAAAAAAAAAAAAAAAAAAAAAGGCTCAGCAACATCATCCTCACCTAGATGAGATTGTCAGAATACAGGGTGTAGCGGCTTCTATCATAGAGTGATGCAGGGAAGCAGCTGTGATAGTCCTGATTCCAGTGCGGTGTTCCCTGCCAGTCCACTTCTCTCAGGAGAAGAGAAGGGGCCAGCAGAGAACAGCGGTGAAACTTATTGCTTCATTGCGCCTGTTTGCACACGGGGGAGCGGCAGAGGGATAGTGTCAGCAATGGGGATGTGATCGACCTATCAGCTACCTGCAATTAAAGGGTAGATCTCAGCAAAACCCCTGGGTACCTCACATGGAACCTTAGGGTTCTGTGGAACCCCAGTTGAGAAACCCTGTGTTAGAGTAGAAAGCATCTTTCTTTTAGATTTAAAAATAGTTTCCTTTTAGTTTGACAATTTCCACATCCTTGCTGTGCCATTCACCAAAAATAACAGCTCTCAAAACCCTGTAACTGAGGTCTTCAAAACGTAAATGGATCCCAACTATGCACCGAGCTGTGCAAGTCACTCTACATTACAAGGTGTCCTCAGAGAATCAGGCTCTGGATTGCATACAGGGGAACACGTGCTACTGAACATGCACGGGACTGGTTTGCATCAGTTTTTGCAATCTTTCCAGGTCAACTCGACCCTCTGCTATGCCTTTTACCCACCAATATTACCAGATATATTATCAATATTACCAGAAAGCTTCTTAACCTCCCTGGCGGTATTCCCGAGTGTAGCTCGGGGTAACATTTCAGTACCAAAAGCGGTAACCCCGAGCTACACTCGGGAATACCATGCGGCGCTGCTCCGGCATGTGTTCTTCACTTACCTTACCCTGCGCTCCCACGATGTGTCCCCTGCAGCGTCCCCGGCCATCTCCTCCGGCCGATGCCGGCATCCGGCTTCTGTGTCCTGTCCCTGTGACGTCGGGACGTACGGGCGCCGCCGGCGGCGGGAAATTTAAAAATTTTAAAAAATGTCTTTTTTTTTTTTCATTTTACACAGTAAAACATTGCTGTTTCAACCCATTTCACATACATATTGTCCCTAGTGCTTTGTCCTGCGCCCTGCCTGCATTTTGTCTGTTCTTTCTGCCTGGAAACTGAGAAACGTCCATGGCGTCCAAAAAGTGTCCCTTTAGGTCAAAAGCGGTTTAGATCAGCTAGAGAACAGCGATAGTAAATCAGAACCACTTACAGAATTGAGTGATAATGATTCGTGGGGGAAATTCGTCATCAGAAACTGAAAACGATTTTGCGACTGAGCTCAGCAATGTGCGAACTTGGCGCTATATTTCACATTTCAGTGTTTTTGGTTTGATTATATTATTGAATTAAATTTTTTATTATTTTTATGATTATTTATTAAATTATAATTTATGATTTTGTGTTTCAAATTTTATCATACCCGGGATGTTTACTAGACTCTTGTTCGGACAGATTTCAGTGAGTTTTTCCTAAAAATTACAGCCTACAATAAAAAAAAATACATATTTCCATGCAAAAAAATGGTACCGCTTTCAGCACCAAAAATCTGAAATAATCATACCGCCAGGGAGGTTAAATATCACCTTCTATTGTCCCAACCAAAATTCTTGTGAGGCTGATATGTGAAGTAGCCAGTACAGCACAGCATACACTGCAGAATTTGTGACTTTAGCATGGGACAGTCATTGAATGTTGTTGTAATGTGCAATAGTTAACCCATCAAGGAGCCAAGGATGCAACAAATGTTAAGGTGGACCTGAATTTTTTATTTTTATCTTAAATATGTTTTTAAAGGTTCCCCTAACTGTCCTGCATTTCTCTCCTAGGCTATAAGAGACATAGCCCGAAACTACCCATAGCCTCCAGGGATTCCCAAGTCACACATCCTAGGCTTCAAGGCAATCTACAGCATATGTGTGGCAGTGTGTCATCAGGAGGCCAGATGCAAGACCCAGAAAGAGATGTCTGAGGATAACTCAGCAAAAAAAGGCAAGAGAGAATTGAAAATAAAATAAAAGGAAAGGGGGTGAAGCTCCTCTTTAATAACCAAACTAGAACAAATGCTAAACAGTGTGGACAGAAGAATCAGCACTGCTTGCTGGTATATCAGACAGCCACAGTACTCAAGGAGCTGTCACAATGCCCGAACAGTGGCTGCATTTGATTTTTAAATCAAAGTTTTTTTAACCACTTGCCCTCCTGAGGATTTACCCCCCTTCCTGACCAGGCCTTTTTTTTGCTATTTGGCACTGCACTATTTCAACTGGTAATTGCGCGCGGTCATGCAATGCTGTACCCAAACAAAATTTATGTTCTTTTTTTCACACAAATAGAGCTTTCTTTCGGTGGTATTTGATCATCTGTGCGCTTATTATGTTTTGTGCTATAAACCAAAAAAAAAAAAAAAAAAAAAAAAAAAAAGACCAAAAATTTTGAAAAAAAAACCCCGATACTGGCTATGAAAAATGTATAGTAAAGTCAAAGTTAGTCATAAATTTAAGCCAAAATGTATTGTGCTACATGTTTTTGGGGAAACAAAAACCCAATAAGTGTATATTGTTGTTTTGTGTGAGAGTTATAGCGTCTACAAACTATGGTATAGATACTGCAATTTACACCATTATTTGCTATACAGCGCTGCACTAGTTTAACTGACAATTGCACGGTCATGCAATACGCTACATAAATTTCATCATGTCATGTGCCACAGTGACAACTGAACTGTCATGCAACACAAAAAAATAAAATAAAATGAGATGTATATCATTTTTTCCACACAAACAGAGCTTTCTTTTGGTGGTATTTCATCACCAATTTGTTTTTATTAAATCAATAAAAAAAAAAAAAAAAAAAATAGAAAAATTTTGAAAAAAAAAAACAAAAACATTTTGTACTTTTTGCTATAAAGCATATCTCATAAAAAATAAAATTTCTTCAAAAATTTAGGACAAAATGCATTCTGCTACATGTCCTTGGTAAACAAAAACCCAAAAAGGCTAGGTTCACACCTATGCAGTTTGCTCTTGATCCATTTCTGCAGTGCTTTTTGCGGTGCATTTTTGACAGGGTTTTTCTTCTTCTTGTTGCTAGGCAGATTAAAATACAAAACGCATCAAAAAAACATAAAAAACGTACTACATGCTTTTCTGCAGTGTTTCCATTGAAGTCTATAGAACCAAAAATGCAACTTTTTGCATTTAAAAAAGTCCGACCCTTTCCAAAAAATGCATCGGGTGAAAAACGCGGCGATGTGAACGTGTCCCATAGGAAATCACGTTAAATGGACTGTAGTGCGTTTCTGCAAAACGCTGCGGTGTGAACCTAGGGTAAGTGTATATTAATTGGTTTGCGTGAAAATTATAGTGTCTACAAATGACGGCATATATACTTATAGCAGGATTGCAATAATACAGTGGGCTTTCTGACACTGGCCAACTGTGTGCTGTTTTACTAAGTAATGTGACAGTGTTTGTCTCTCTGCATTTAGTAGAGCGATCTGTGTTGTTTACCAACATAGAGCTCTCCCCTGTCACTAGCTCCGACCCTTGGTGGGTCCCGGCTGTGAATCATCGACCGGAATCTTCTGATCGGCATGTCAGGGAACCAATGACAACGTAGATAGGTGGGCACGTGCCCCCAACTCAGAAAAGAAAAATCACACTATATTTATAAATACACACACACACACGTGATTTTGCACAGCCAGCCCGCACTGTAGCAGTAAAGCTATAGCGCAGTCGGCAAGTGGTTAATGTAGCGCACCTAAATACAAACACAAGATTGTGGCCCTAAAGGGTGCTTTGTATTGAAAGCGATATTGAAAGTTATGTGGATTATTGCCAAGTTACTATTATGTGCTTTGTTTCTGTTTCTCTTTTCTATACTGTTGAGAAAAGTTTGGATATCCAACTTCAGCCAAACTTTTTATTTAATTTTGGATAGAGTTGGGAAGGTTAGAAAAGGTGTCAGGTTTCGATTGCCATGTCCCATGTCAGAACAGGAAGTGAGGAAATTTCTCCAACAGGATGCAAACACTTTAGCAGATTGGGAAGGGTTAGGGTTTCTGACAACACTTTTTGCAGTTCGTGCCTCCCTGTGTCGATAACCCCCATCTCTTGTATGGGTGTCACAGGGACAGGAAGCCTCTGCAATCACCTTTAGATTTACCAAAATTATGTAATAGGAGATCATACAAATGTAATGGTTGTTTAGGTATCTAATCAAGCAGGCCCCTTGCACTATATCAGTGGTCTTCAAACTGCATCCCTTTGCTTACCTTTAAAATCGGTCGTTCAGGCATTATTCCTGCCACCAACAGTGGGACACTATTCCTGGCACTGGCATCAACTATTTCTCCCCCTAATACCAAAGATTTGGTATTGTTTACTCCCACTGGGCACAGCCGGAATTCCTAAAGTCTGAAGGACAGTAAACTGGTCCTTTCTTTGGAAAGTCTGGAGACACCTGCACTATACAGTTGACTGTGGATCCAAAGAAGATTGTACAATCAGTTTGTGTAGTGTTTGTACAGTGTGTTTGCATCATTTTGCATTAACTTTAATCTTGCCTGCATCATTTGGCAGAAGTTAATTTGTAAAGCTTGCAAAATGTCTCTTTTTCAAGTCAATGGAAGCACACAGCAGATGA